TCGTATCCTGGCAGTGCACATAAACGGCTGGGTGGGAGCTTCGCCATTTTGATTAGACATACCCATATAAAGGACCTGCCGAGGATCCAGTGAGGAGATAATAACGACACAGTATGCAAAAATATGCCTGAAATTAAGACAGAACTGAAGACCAAAGGTGGGACAGTCCCCCAGAGCGGACAATGGGGCAAAAAGAGGAGAAATCCAGACCACAGCCAGAACAAAACACACACGAGTTGAACTTACTAAATGTGCTTGCTTGAAACAATGTATTCATATAGCATATAGTGGTTTCCCAATATAGAGGGTGTCTATTTATCTTCAAATACATGTTCCCAATGTTCAGCTCCAAAGTATTTGATGGTAGTCACACTGGGGACATTCTAGCTGTCAATAATTCAATCATGAAACCTGAATACCAAGTAAACCATGTATCGTTCTCCTTTAAATCAGCCAATTAGAGCCAGATGGGGTGAGACACAAATCAGAAATCTGTCTGGTTCGGCAAAGAAAAAGTCGGTGTCTCAGATGTCCTCACCACATGTGACCTTCCAGTCCACCAATTGCATGCCACTGCATCAAATCCTTCAGGGATACTGGTACTCTATTTCCACAGGACAACGTGCTCTGCCGCACTGCAAAAATGGTTCAAGATGGTTTGAAGAACACAACAAAGAGTCTGAAGTGTTGGTTTGGCCTCCAAATTCTTTATATTTCAAAAAAAGCATGCATCTGTGGAATGTGCTGGAAAAACAATTCTAATTCATGGAGGCCCCGCCGTGCAACGTACAAGACAAGGATCTGCTACTGACAGCGTAGTAACTACCACATCATATCTTCAAAGGTCAGGGCTGGTTTGGTGGCAAACGGGGGACCTGCTGGTGATCAGAAAGTTATGGCTAATCAGTGTATATATATATATATATATATATATATATATATATATACACACATATATACATATACACACACACACACACACTATAATGCCAAAAGTACAAAATCATTGGATTTGGGTGTTCCAATCACCTCCATGGCCACAAGTGTATAAAATCAAGCACCTAGAAATGCAGACTGCTTCTACAAACATTTGTGAAAGAATGGGTCACCCTTAGGAGCTCAGTGAATTCAAGCATGGTACCATGATAGGTTTCCACCTATGCAATAAGTCCATCCATGAAATTTCCTTGCTACTAATTATTCCACGGTCAAATTTTAGTGGTATTGTAACAAAGTGGAAACAACTGGTAACAACAGCAACTCAGCCACCAAGTGGTAGGCCATGTAAAATGACAGAGCTGGGTCAGTGCATGCTAAAGTGCACAGTGCGCAGAAGTCGCCACATGTCTGCAGAGTCAATATCTAAAGACCTCCAAACTTTGTGTGGCCTTCAGATTAGCACAACAACAGTGCATAGAGAGCTTCATGGAATGGGTTTCCATGGCTGAGCAGCTGCATCCACGCCTTACATCATCAAGTGCAATGCAAAGTGTCAGATGCAGTGGTGTAAAGCATGCCGCCACTGGACTCTAGTGCAGTGTTCTCTGGAGTGACGAATCACACTTCTCTGTCTGGCAATCCAATGGATGTTTCTGGGTTTGGCAGTTGCTAGGAGAACAGTACTTGCCTGACTGCATTGTGCCAAGTGTAAAGTTTGGTGGAGAGGGGATTATGGTGTGGGGTTGTTTTTCGGGGGTTGGGCTTGGCTTCTTAGTTCCAGTGAAGGGAACTCTTAAGGTGTCGTCATACAAAGACATTTTGGACAATTTCATGCTCTCAACTTTGTGGGAACAGTTTGAGGATGGCCCCTTCCTGCCCCAAAATGATTGCCCACCAGTGCACAAAGCAAGGTCCATAAAGACATGGATGAGCGAGTTTCGGGTCGAAGAACTTGACTGGCCTGACCTCTACCCGATAGAACACCTTTGGGATGAATTAGAGCAGAGACTGCGAGCAAAGCCTTCTAATCCGACATCAGTGCCTGACCTCACAAATCACTTCTAGAAGAATGGTCAAACATTCCCATAGACACACTCCTAAACCTTGTGGACAGCCTTCCCAGAAGAGTTGAAGCTGTTATGGCTGCAAAGGGTGGGTCAACTCAATATTGAACCCTATGGACTAAGATTGGAATACCATTATTATTATACAGGATTTATATAGCGCCAATAGTTTGCTCAGCGCTTTACAATATAAAGGTAAACAATACAGCAACAATACAGTTCAATACAAGAGGGATAGGAGGGCCCTGCTCCTTGGAGCTTACAATCTAGGAGGAGGGGCTAGTGGTACAAAAGGTAGTAACTGTGGGGGATGGACTGGTAGGAGGAGTAGAAGATTCCTGTATTAGCTGAGGGCAGGATAGGCTTCCCTGAAGAAATAGGTTTCAGAGATTGCCTAAAAGTGAGCAGAGTAGATAGTCTGATAAATTGGGGTAGAGAGTTCCAGAGGATGGGGGAAGCTCTGGAGAAGCCCTGGAGATGAGCATGGGAGGAGGAGACAAGAGAGCTAGAGAGAAGGAGGTCATGCGAGAAGCGGAGAGTACTGTTTGGGTGATATTTGGAGACAAGATTGGTGATGTAATTTGGGGAAGAGTTATAAATGGATTTATATGTTATTGTTAATGTTTTGAATTTTATCGGTTGGGCAATGGGAAGACAGTGGAGGGATTGGCAGTGAGGGGGTGGCAGATACAGAACGGTTAGTAAGGTGGATGAGTCTGGCAGCAGCATTCATGATAGACTGAAGAGGGGATAGCCTGCGATTAGGTAGGCCAATGAGGAGGGAGATACATTAGTCAAGGCGAGATATAACAAGGGAGTGAATAAGTTGCTTAGTAGTTTCCGAGGTTAGGAATGGGCGTATCTTGGAGATGTGGCGGAGGTGAAGTCTACAAGATTTGGACAACGATTGGATTTGGGGCTGAAAGGACAGATGGGAGTCTAGGATCATACCTAGTACCCTGGCATGAGGGGTGGGACTGATGGTTGTGTTATTGATCTTGATGGAGAAGTCAGCGGAGAGGGCACGGGCTGGGGGGAATACTAGGAACTCAGTTTTGGAAAGATTGAGTTTGAGGAAGTGGAGTGACATCCATGCCGATATGTCACTTAGTAGGTTAGTAATGCGAGAAGAGACTGAAGGGGTGAGGGGTAGAAAGATAGATTTGTGTGTCATCAGCATAGAGATGGTACTTAAAGCCATGGGAGTTTATCAAGTGACCAAGGGAGGAGGTGTAGATGGAGAAGAGTGGGGGTCAAGGACAGAACCTTGAGGGACCCCTACAGAAAGAGGGAGTGGAGAGGAGGAGCCAGAGTTATAGGTAACGCTGAAGGAGCGCTGCGATAGGTAGGTTTTGTAAAGGCAGGCATCCCAATGCTTTTGGCAATATAGATATATATATATATATATATATATATATATATATATATAGATATAGATATAGAGAGATAGAGAGAGAGAGAGAGAGAGAGAGAGCAGGGGCGGACTGACCATTCGAGCACTCAGGCACTGCCCGGGGTCAGAAGGGGGCCCCATGAGATGCCCCTGATACCTTTCATTGGCTTTTTCATAGGCTTTTTTGGGTGTGGGCGAGGACACAGGGGCCCCATGATCCCCTATTGCCCGGGGGCCCCATGAGTTGTCAGTCCACCCCAGATAGATAGATAGATAGATAAAAACCATGACTTCATATTAACCAATCCTGCTACAAATATTAATTGTCATTTTTGCTATGTCAGACTCAAAACGCATCTCTGAAAAATGTATTTAGCAAATTAGTGTAAAATTTGAGTAGCTATTAGAATGCGCTTAAAAAACAGTTAATTACTAAATCCTTACTAGTTATAAATAAACATTTACTTTAATAAAAAAAAAAAGGTCAAAACCTCAATTAACAATTGAGCAGTAACAAAGAACTTACTTTGGAAATTAACTATATAAATAGATAACCATTTTTAATATCCAACATTAAAGTGGTTGTAAAGGTGGAAGGTTTTTTTACCTTCAGGCATTCTATGCATGAAAGGTAAACACCTCCTGTATACTGCTTCCCTCACAGCTCCCCCAATTCTCACCTGATCCCCTCTCGATCCAGCGGTGTGCATGGGAGCCTGGGCTGTCCCAGGTCTCGCTCTCCTCATTGGCTGAAACACAGCAGTGGGAGTCATTGGCTTCCACTGCTGCCAATCACAGCCAGTGAACCAATGAGGAAAGAACAAAGAGGCAGGGTCTAGCATAGCTCTATGCTCGGCAGCAAGCACACACCAGTGCCCCCATAGCAAGGGGCTTGCTATTGGGGTTACTGGTCAAGGGGGATAAGGAGGAGGAGCCAGGAGCGCTGTCGGGGGAGGGGCACCTGAGCAAAACCATTGCACAGAGCAGGTGAGTATATACCCCTGGAATCTACACTTATCTTTGAATGGTGGCTACTCATCCTATGGGATATCTTTTACCTGGAGAGCATTGCATCTAAGAACTGGATTGACATCTATTGCTCCCAGAGCAAGAGTGTTTTTTGCTGGTCCATTTGCCGATCAGCATTGAGCTCTGGTGAGTGATCCGAATTTTCTTGGTGGTTTACTTGATTTTGGAAGATATAATTTGTGGACATTTTATTTATGAACACTTTTTCTTTTTTATAGAATATATTTTTCTGTGTTATATTTTTATATGTTTATTTAGCGCATTCCTTTTGATTTATTTGAGTATGACATGTTTGTTATTTTTTTTTACTTTTCTTTGCAAAAATATTTTTATTTTAATTTTCATGTTACATGAAATGTTTAGCAAATTAGTGTAATATATGAGTAATATTTAACAAAAACAAAAACAGAATAACCACACAAAGCAGTACATGACAATCTTCTTATGAAAAAAAAAAAACTGAAACTCACCTTTGCATGAATATACAGTATCATGAAACAAAAAGACTTCCTGTGTTGTGAAATCTTCTCCAGAATCAAGCAGTTAGGATAAGACTTTATTGCGTACCCACCCACATCCAATCAATGTGTAGCAGGGGCAGACTGACCATTTGGAAACTCGGGCACTGCCCAAGGGCCCGGGTCAGTAGGGGGCCCCATAAGATGCCCCTTTTACCTTTTTCATAGGCTTTTTTGAGTTTGGGCAAGGACACAGGGGCCCCATGATCCCCTATTGCCCAGGGGCCCATGAGTTGTCAGTCCGCCCCTGATGTGTACTAAGCATTTTGTATAAATTCAGGCTCACTAAACCAAATTGGGGGATGTGACCCAGAATGAAAGGCATTAAACATAAACATACAGACCTGACTGTGAATTTCATCACAAACTATTCTCCCCGTAGACTATTCAAAAACATGTAACAATCAATGTGAGATGGAGAGGAAGACAGACAACTGCCCCACACTTTCTCAAATTTATTAAACACACCTCTGTTGGAGTACGTGGCCTTATACAGTGGAACAGATTTATTTACTAAAGATTTCCAGGTCACCAATGCTGCGCTGACAAAATAATCCATTTCCTAGCATAATACAACAGTAATGTTAGAAGGGTTCTTATGGCTTTGCTAGGAGCTAAGGAGTCAGCCAGGCATAAAAGAAAGGGGGATAGGAGTGTTAGTGACATGTCTGTTATTAAAAGAAAAAAAAAAAAACCTAAAGCTTTAATATAACTTTAAGATTCATTATTAGCTCTGAATATGTATAAAGTAGTTAATATGTCCCTGATTATAAATGGAGTCATTTTGGGAGAAAGTGAATTCTCTGTTTTGTATAACTTTTCTTAGTGATTGGTTTATTTTCTAGACTTATATATGAAGGGAGAGTATGAATTAATAGATTTGGAGAAGAATGATTACAGAGGATCAAGCGTTGGCATGGATGATAGTAGAGCAGAATGGTCAAAGAGGGACAAGAGAGGTTCGGAAATAAGATGAACAAGAATGACCAAAGAGTTTAATATCTTTCTTTTTTTGTAATTCTTTATTTAAACAATTTGCATTTACAAAGAAGTACCAAAACAGTATGCAAAAGGGGTGAATGTAAGCTTCATACGAAACATTTACTAGCACATTATGCCACAACATGTCACAGTGTTCCAGTAACCAGGAACATTAGGCTAGGTACAATTTGTCCCTTACAGAAGCTATAATGACGCCACTCATACTGGAAATGTCAGGTAATGAACCTGAAGTACACAAAGTCTGGCTCAAACTTTTTTCATTATAACACACAAATTCGACCCCACACATCTTGGGACCATAAAAAGACAAAAAAAATTACATAGAAAAATTTTGTATTGTGACTAGAGATGAGCGAATTATTCAAAAATTCGGTTCGGCTGATTCGCCGAATTCGCCGAATAAATTCGCTTCGAGCCGAATATATTCGCTGCGAATTTAACTTATAAAAAGGGTGTTTCTAGGCTTCAGAGAGCCTTTATATTAGTGCAGAATACTGTACCTTTAATTTAAATGCCCTTGGAGTCTGCTGGGGAAGAGAAATAATACTGTCAGTCAGTATGACATGCAGATGAGTGCCGTCGATCTTAGAATCACCGCACACTTCACTCATTTGGGCAGTCACAGGGCCAAAACCAGAGTGTGGAGCCACAGTGTGGCGGTGGAGGCAGCAGCAATGGGAGGCCATACAGCACCCTATGACAAAATGGAACCCACCAGCAGTGTGAGGAGACCTGAAAGTGGCACATGGCAGAGTGTGGCGATGGAGACAGCAGCAATGGGAGGCCGTACAGGGACCCATGACACACTCTGGACCTGGCAGCAGCATGAGGAGGCGGTGCAGGGGCCCATGACAGATTACGGGCCGGCAGCAGCATGAGGAGTCGGTACGGGGGCCCATGGCAGATTACGGGCCTGGCAGCAGCATGAGGAGGCGGTACAGGGGCCCATGGCAGAGTGGCAGAGCGTAAGCAGCTAAAATTGAAGGCCATACAGAGGCCTATGTTAAAAAGTCCCCCCAGCAGCAGCGTGGGGAGACGACTATCAAGAGTCCAATGGCAGAGTGGCGGAGCAGAAGCAGCTTCAATTGAAGGCCATACACAGGCCTAGGTTTAAAAGTCCCTCACAGTTAATTCCAATAACGAACTCTACTCCTCCGTGCAATCTACTTACGAGACCCTGGGCAGGTCTGGGTCCAATTTGTGGTAGAGACTGGTTTTGTTCAGCCATGCTTGAGCGAGTAATAACAGGTCTGTGCTGCCCTTTGGTGTCTGGCTTAATGCTCACAACACTGAACGTCCCAGCGTTTGTCAACGAATTTGTCGTTAAGTGATGCAAACCCGCTGAACCACGTTCATGAGGAGCCGGTACAGGGGGCCATGAATCAGTATGGACCTGGCAGCAGCGTGAGCAGACGACAGAGGCACATGGCGCAGGGTGGCGGTGTAGGCAGCATTATTCTGAAGCCATACACACAGGCCTAGGTTTAAAAAGCGGAAGCCGTCAGCAGCGTGAGCAGACGACAGAGACACATGGCGCAGGGTGGCGGTGGATGCAGCAGTATTCGGAAGCCAAACACAGGCCTCGGTTAAAAAGCGGAAGCCGTCAGCAGCAGCGTGAGCAGACGACAGAGGCACATGGCGCAGGGTGGCGGTGGAGGCAGCAGCAATGGAAGGCCATACAGCACCCTATCACAAAATGGAACCCACCAACAGTGTAAGGAGACCTGAAAGTGGCACATGGCAGAGTCTGGCGATGAAGTCAGCAGCAATGGGAGGCCGTACAGGGACCCATGACACACTCTGGAGACCTGGCAGCAGCAAGAGGAGGCGGGTACAGGGGCCCATGGCAGAGTGGCGAAGCGTAAGCAGCTTAAATTGAAGGCCATACAGAGGCCTATGTTAAAAAGTCCCCCCAGCAGCAGTGTGGGGAGACGACTATCAAGAGTCCAATGGCAGAGTGGCGGAGCAGAAGCAGCTTCAATTGAAGGCCATACACAGGCCTAGGTTAAAAAGTCCCCCCAGCAGCAGCGTGGGGAGACGACTATCAAGAGTCCAATGGCAGAGTGGTGGAGCGGAAGCAGCTTCAATTGAAGGCCATACACAGGCCTAGGTTAAAAAGTCCCCCCAGCTGAGTCCACCACTTGGAAAGGGAGGGACTGCAGCACCAGCAACTTGGACAGGAGGACGTTCAGCTTCTGCACCGTCGGGTGCGTGCTCGCAAACTGTTGTCTCTTGGAAACGGATTCCAAGAAAGACTGCTGACGGAATCCGTTGAAGAGGAGTAGCAGGAGAAGGAGCATCTGAACGAGCGGAAGATGCCAACGAGCGACAACACCCCTCAGCAGAGGTGTTGGAGCCTTGACTGGCTGATAGAGGGCGATTGACGTCGGGTGATGGAGCAAGTAACGGAGCGGGTGATGGAGCGGGGGCTGGGGCAGGCAGAACCGCCGTATCTTTATCACGGTTTTCCCAGGAATCCACCGAATGGCGACGCTGCATATGCTGACGCAACGCTGTAGTCCCAACATTGGCCCCCTGGCCACGCTTGACTTTCTGGCCACATAGTCGACATACGGCTACGTTTACTTCCTCGGGCGCGGCTTGACGAAAAATTGCCACACCGCCGAGTAGGAAACTTTGCCCCCGCTACTCCTCACTGGCTGACTGCTACTTTCCTCCGTGCACACCGGCACCACTACTGGCCGTGGTGGTAGGCTGCAGTGGAGCTGGTGCTCTACTCCGTGGCCGTTTGCTCCACTGACACTGCTGCGACCCTGCTGCCTCCTGGGCAACCCACCGACTGTTTTTGCTCGCTGGCAAGCTGGCACCCTCTTCTCCTGATGATGCGGAAGCAATAAGCCTGATGACGACGAGGCTGCCAAGTGCGATCAGCCTCATCATCATCAAATAGGGTCTCCGCGTCACTACTAGCCCCCTCGGCTGCGTGTGGGTCAGGAGACAGACCTGTCTCTAGACCGGCTACCAAGCCACTCTCCTCGCCAATACTTCGCTGGCTGCTGAAGAGGCGGATGTCTCCCCCCCCGTTCCTGACCGCCCTCTGTTAGCTCTTCCTCACTGTACAGTGGGGCTGAGCCCACAGCATGCGATTACTTCGCTTGGTGAGGGAACACCAAAGGACAGGGGCAGGTCGAGGACACGTGATTTCAGTGGGCTTGCTCCCGGGCCATGCCAACTAACGGTTGTGTCTGACGTACCCACCGACCGTTGGCTGTAGGTGTCAGAGGTGACCTGGGAAGAGGAAGACGACCGAGTCAACCATCGATGACGGCAGGGTGTTGTCGGTGGAGACATGACCGCTGGATGACACCGGGAGCACTGGCCTCTGGCTGCGAGTAGTGCTGCCTCGACCCTTTCCTCTGCTGCCACGTCTGCTCGCTCCTGAAACATTGCCTCCTCTGCCACTCCTCTGCGTGTTGTCTGACATACTCTTTAAATTCAATAAGCACCCCAAAAATAAAACCGGATTTAACTCTTTGAACGTACAATAGTGGTTTGTGAAGCAGAAAGTCAGTTTATTTAGCACAATCGGTCAATTGCAGCTTGCCGTTGGCTGGAAACTGTACGTTTATGTCACTGGAATGCACTAATCACCCAAAAAATATTACCGCCAGCCTGGCGTGTAAATGGATTTTAACTCTTTGAACGTACAATAGTGGTTGTGAAGCAGAAAGTCAGTTTATTGTACACAATCGGTCAAATTGCAGCTTGCCGTTGGCTGAAAACTGTACGTTTCTGTCACTGGAATGCACTAATCACCCAAAAATATTACCGCCAGCCGGCGTGTAAATGGATTTAACTCTTTGAACGTACAATAGTGGGTTGTGAAGCAGAAAGTCAGTTTATTTAGCACAATCGGTCAATTGCAGCTTGCCGTTGGCTGGAAACTGTACGTTTATGTCACTGGAATGCACTAATCACCCAAAAAATATATTACCGCCAGCCGGCGTGTAAATGGATTTAACTCTTTGAACGTACAATAGTGGTTGTGAAGCAGAAAAGTCAGTTTATTTAGCACAATCGGTCAATTGCAGCTTGCCGTTGGCTGGAAACTGTACGTTTATGTCACTGGAATGCACTAATCACCCAAAAAATATTACCGCACACCCGGCGTGTAAATGGATCTAACTCTTTGAACGTACAATAGTGGTTGTGAAGCAGAAAGTCAGTTTATTTAGCACAATCGGTCAATTGCAGCTTGCCGTTGGCTGGAAACTGTACGTTTATGTCACTGGAATGCACTAA